GAGAGAGAGAGAGAAAATATTGATGTGAGAGAGACACATGGATTGGTTGCCTCCCACAATCGAACCCAAGACCCTTCAGTCCATGGGCCAATGCTCTGTCTACTGAGCCAAACCGGCTAGGGACTCAGGAGAATTTTAATCAATGTTTAGGCTATAGAGAAAGAGACTATTTCCCCTTTCTTTTTGGGGGGCAGTGGGCGGAGCGGACAGGAAGGGAGTTCTTTTAGCCAACCCCAGGCAAGAAAAGGCCACTGTTTGGATGCTCACGCAAACCGGGAAAACCTAATTGGAAGGGCCTCGGTTTTCCTTTCACGGAACCCCATGTGCTCACAGAGCTTTTCAGCGCTGTCCGGAGAACCCTGGCGTCCCACTCAGAAGCAGTGCCCCCGAGTCCGGCTCTGGTCTGTGGCGTGCCGACGGTTCACCTCTTGAAGAAGTTAAGAATGAGTAAGAAGGCCTTGAGGACTCTTAGTCAGCCCGTGAAGATTCAGGAAAGTATTTGCTTTAGTACAATGGAAAAAACTGTCACTCTTTCCTGCTCAGTCAACTTTCCTTGCAAAGGCAGGAAATACTGCTGAAGGGGCTTGAGGTTTATATAGTTTATGGTTGATGAATCACCCGTTTTCTTTAAAAGAAAAAGGTGTTGTAAAACTCTGGCCTTACACGCTGTTTGACCAACATACCTGTGCTCACCTGCTCAGAGTCCTGACGAACCGCTGTGAGTCACATGTGAGGTCTGCCTGGGCCCCAGGCAGGGTGGAAGATGCCAACTCCAGCTTCATCCCGAGCATCTCCTTTTCTTTCTTTGGCCCTCAGGGACCAGAAGAGCTTTGTCTTCCCTAGTTCTTCCCCATTTTTAACTGTTTCGTTTAGTCTGGTCATTTTGAAGGGAGGAGGTTCAATATGGGGCAGTGGGTAGACTCTGGGGCGCTAGACTCTTAACTCTGCTGCTTCCCGTCAGGCATGTGCTCCTTTGCTTCTGCCTGAAAAGAAACATTAATATCATTAAGCCATTGTGTTTGTGTCTTGCGAGGAGGAGGAGGAGGAGGAGGAGGAGGAGGAGGAGGAGGAGGAGAGAAGGGACAGGAAGAACAGGGAGGGAAGATAAAGCAAGGAACATTCAGGATATAGTATTTCCTGACTGTAAAGCTCCCTGGGAGGAAAATTCTTATAGAGCTGTCTTGTTTGCTTATGGCCGGAGAAAGGGCTGTGATCTCAGGTCACTCACAGGCGATGGAAGAAGAACCCTGGGGACATGTAAAAGGGCAAAGGCAGGCTGGGGAGTAGGGGGGTGGGGCGGGGAAACCCCAACTCCATGAAGTGCTACCATCTTCTGCTTTCTCTTCAGGCTCTTCCACCGTCCTGACTGAGCGTAATAATCTTTCACTGCCTATAACATGGTTAGGAGGAGAGAGACAGTACCCAGAGGAGCTGAGAGGCTCAGTGAGGTCATAGATAATGTGTGTGAGACTTTGTTGAAATCTGCTCACTCGAAGAGAAGCTTGTTGCTCCTCCTGCCAAGGAAACGTTCGCTGGTTGTTCAGAATAACTGGGTCTCGGTCATTGCTGGGAAGTCGTGGAGGTGCTGGGTAGTTGGCTCTGGGAACATCTCTTCTGGGAAATGCTTTACAGAAATGCTGGTTGTGCTGAGCTGTGCTGGAAGCATGTTGTGGGACTTTTAAGGGCTGGTGTTTCAAGTCCTTCATTATGTATAACAATGTTTCCAGGATATAACGCATACATTTCCTTGATAAGCTACAGGTTAAGTTGGTGAGTCCTTGTGTCTGAAGCTTTGGGGAAGTGAGGATGGTAACATTGTAATTGTAGTCCGGGGCCTATAAGCAGGCCAGGTCCTTAACTTTCCCATAAATCAGTGACTGTAGAGACCAAGAGGATTGGGTCTGTTTCTCATAGTAACACGAACTATTTTCCCTATTCTCATGTTCATGACAATTATCGACTTTCATTCAGCAGTAAAAATTAAGAGTGAAAAGGAATATCAAAAAGTAGAATATATTTGTCATCCTTATATCCAACAAGCATCTTGTGCAGAATCTGTAAAGAACAGCTACCAACCAAAAAACAAACAAAAAACCTTAATTTTAAAGAGAAAAAAAATCAGGAAAATGCAAAATTAAAACAACTCTAAAATGCCAGTGTGGCCAACGCTCTATCCACTGAGCCAAACCAGTTTTGGCATCGCTGACATTTTTAAAAAGGTTTTGTTATCCTCAAATATGTTAGAGATATATTACACTAGAGGCCCAGTGCACAAATTCATGCATCCCCAATTGGGTAGGGGGTGATTGGGGATGAGGCTGGCTCAGGGGAGGGGCCACAGGCAGTTGGCCAGCTGGCCCCGCCCACTAGTCAAAACTCCCAGTCAAACTCCCAGTGGTGGGAACAATTTGCACATTAGCCTTTTATTATATAGGATATACTCACACAAATGTCTAAAATAAAAACACATAACCAACCATGAATGGAGTTACAGAGAAGCTCAAACTCTCATACAGTGCTGGTGGAAGTATAAATTGATTGAATCACTTTGAAATGTATTTGGATTAATCTATAAAGCTGAATAAATGCATATCCCATGTCCCAGTACTTATGCTCCTAGATGCCCAACCAGAATGAGGGCATATGTGTACCAGACGCAGTTACAAGAATGTTCATAATAGAGACAGTCCAAATATCCGCGAACGGGCAAATAAATGGCTATGTAATGAAATACCAAATGGCAATAAAAAAGAACAAATTACTGCTACATAGAACAACTTGATGAATCTCTTATACACTGAGTAAAAGAAGTAAGAAACAAGCATACATGTTGTATGAATCATTTCTATGAAGCTCAAAAAGAGGCAAAAAATAAGCGATGGTGACAGAAGCTAGAGCAGGAGATGGTGCAAGGAGTGTCATGACGGGACAAGGGTATGAGGGCGGTTCTGGGACTCCAATGATATTCTCTGTCTTTGACTTGGTTGCTGATGACATGGATATGTTTATTTTAAGCATTCATCATGGTAAATATTTAAGACTTATTATTTTATTGTAGGTATGCCATTCCTAATTTAGAAACTTTATTAAGATCAAGCATTTTAAAATAAATAAACCAATAAGGTTTATTGGCTGAAGAAAGAAGAAGAGAAGAGGGGAGGGGAGGGAATGGGAAGGGGAGGGGAGGGGAGGGCTCAATTAAACTGGCTTAAACATACCAGCATCACCAATGAGGAATTTGTTGGAAGGAACCCAGTGAAACTCAGCAGCATTGTAGGTTGTAGGCTGCAGTCCTCCTGAGCGTTGGGGAGTTAGGGCGTGAGTTATGATTTCTTTGAGGCACTCATGGTGTCGCGTCTCCGGCATTTGCACCATTTTCTCTGTAGAGATCCTCTTTCTCTGCTTCAGCTCACATGTGGTGGAAAATGGCAGCCCAGCCTTCATTTATCATGATCTCCCATTTCAAGCCTAACTCCTTTTTTATACCTTATTAGAGGCCCGATTCACAAAATTTGTGCAAGGGGCTTGGCCCATGGCTTTGTCCGGGAGGTCCTTTGACTGTCTAGTCTAATTAGCATATTATGCTTTTATTATTATAGATAATTATGAACCAGGAGGTCACGCATGGTTCGATTCCCGGTCAGGCCACATGCCCGGGTTGTGGGCTCGATCCCCAGTTGGGGGCGTGCAGGAGGCAGCCAATCAATGATTCTCTCCCATCATTGATGGTCTATCTCTCTCCCCTCGTTCTTCCTTCCTCTCTGAAATGAATAAAAAAATATAAAAAATTTTCTGGCCTTCTCTCCCTCCCTGTTGATTGGCTTCATTTCCCCCCTATGGTCCAGTTGGCTGTGGCCACGGGGGTTGGGATTAGGTAGCAAACAAAGAAGCCAAGGTTAAGGACAGGTAGATTTTTCTGGAAAGGGAAATGTGTGTGTGAGGAAAAAAAGAAAAAGAAAAAAAAAGATTGCCATTTTACCACATACTCTCTTGCTGTGAAGGTAGGCTTCTTCCCATTTTGTCCAGGCAGTATTTGGAGCGGGGATCAGGGAAGTCCCTAGAAATTCTTTGCTCCCTCCCAGCCACATCAGACTCTGATGTCTACTAACTACCACACAGGGCACCCCAGAAGCTTGACCCTGATTTCTTGTGGAGTCTCCCTGAACTCTGGTTTTACCAAGACCCGCCTCGGACTAGTCTTGTGGAGGGAGCTTCTGTTACTTTGTACCATTTTGGGGAGTATGGACTAATTTCCCAAATACATGGAGAGTCGCATCTCCTGGGTATAACTTTGTTTCAGAGGATGGGAAATACTGTTCCAAACTTGATTGAAACTGAGCAGTGCAAATAGCCTTTCTGATCTCTAGTCTGGGCTTGCTAAGGCTGGTGCAGAGAACCGTGGGCCCTGGGTACAAAGCGGAGTGTAGCATTCTCTCCCTCCCTGTGTCTTGGGTAAACTGGGTCTACAGTTTCCGAGGTCCTTGACTTGGAGATGCCTGTATGGGATTTCTTAGCATTGCCCTTCACCTCTCGCTAGGCACCTTCCATTTGTTTCCTGCTGCTGAAAACAGACTCTCCCCACAGCCTCTGGATCTGACAACCTTTCAGCTTCATCCTAGCAAGCTTCTGCGCTCCTCTGGACTTGAGCTTGCCAAGACCGAGCGCACATTTGGGAGAAGTGGAGTTGAATGCTTTTCCTTCAGAAGTTAACTTTTCAGTGACGTTGTGTGTTCCATCAGAGTAGCTATGAGAGGAGTCTTATCTCGGGGTATTGCTTTTCTTTGGCTTCCAGAAAAGTCATGGAGAGGTCTAGTCATTTTCATCCAGCTCTGTTTTAGCCAATCACTTGGAAAACTATTTGTATCAGATCTTATTGGTAAGACTCCCGGGCAGGGACTAACTAATAATAAAAAGCTAAAATGAACCTCAGCTTTTTCAGGAGGATGATTTCTACATCCCATAAAATCCCAGGCAGTTACATTTCCTTGTTTTGCCGGGAGACTGGTGTACAGGTTAAATTTATAACCTTGATCCTTGTTTATCCCCCTATCAGTTAGAGATTAATTGCGGGACTGTGGGACGGTGAGCTGTTGAACTTTATCTTCTTTGAACCTACCATTGTTCTTAAGAAGGTCTTCTAAAGGTCAGTAATTTAAAGTTTCCCCTTTCCCCTGAAGCATATATGTATTATATAAGGCAAAAACTTTAATTAGAAAAAGGGAAGTGTTGCCGAAACCGGTTTGGCTCAGTGGTAGAGCGTCGGTCTGAGGACTGAAAGGTTCCGGGTTCAATTCCGGTCAAGGGCATGTACCTTGGTTGCGGGCACATCCCCGGTAGGGGGTGTGCAAGAGGCAGCTGGTCGATGTTACTCTCTCATCAATGTTTCTAGCTCTCTATCTCTCTCCCTTCCTCTCTGTAAAAAATCAATAAAATATATTAAAAAAGAAAAAAGAAAAAGGGAGGTGTTATTTTCAGTTTATTATATTTGTTATGCAGATGAGCAGCTAAAAATCCACTGCCAGTAAGATCTACCTGTCCGTCTACCTTCATTAGGCTGCTGTAGGTATTAATTACTCCGTTGAGCATTTAAACATTTTAAAAAGTGAAGTGTTGGTTTCATTTCTCAGCTTAGATGCTCAGTGGCTTAAAAGAACATTTTAATTTTGTGTTCCTATTGCATGAGAGCGATGGCTCTGCTCCAAGGGTTTTCCTCACTCTAGGTCTAGGCTGAACAGGCCACCCCGTCTGGGCCATAATCTCCTGGGAGTAGCAAAGGGTAAGGAAGGAAAGTACGGAGGCTGAAGCCAGTCATTTGGCTAAGCCTACCCAGCGGTGAAGCAGGAAGTAGAATCATTCCTCCACCTGAGGACACTGTCCCCTCACAGTGGGAGGTCTAATCCTCTCTCATGGGGAGGGCAGCAAGTTATCGAAACAACATAATCTGCCACAGTGGCACGCTATATTTAATTCAGAGGTTTAAGGGCCTGTATGCTGATGCAGAAACAGTTTTTAGAATTGACTAAACCTGTATTTCAGGGTGTATTTTGAAAAGGTTATGCTTCAGAAATCTGCGTAGATACGGAAAATAGGGTCTAATTTTTGTGCACGGGACTTATTAATCTTTTATGAGCTGGGAAGCTGTGCCTGCAGTTTGGTAACTTTCCACTCATTGTTTTGCAAAGATCTAGGCCTGTACTTTAATCAAGAAATTACTCATTACTTTCTTGACTTTTAGTTCTTGATTTTTCATGTATTACTACTGCTGTCTCATTGGTCATTATTTATTTATTTATTTGTTTTTGTTTTGTTTTGTTTAACCACTTGAATTAGTAGGGTCTTGGCCACCAACTAAAGGCAGATGGTTCTGTCAAGAGAAGGGTAGAGAAATGGAGGTCTTTTATTAGGGCCAAGTAAATATGCCTTGGTATGTTTTCTTCCAAAAGTGAAAATGCTGAGCTATTGCTAATATCCTTACCGGGAAATGTCTATCTTACCATTTAGAAAGTACAAAATCAGCCTTACCTGGGTTGGCTCATTGGATAGAGCATTGGGTCGTGGAGGTTTCTGGCTTTGATTCTAGTCAAGGACACGTACCTAAGTTGCAGGCTCAATCCTTGGCCCTGGTTCGGGCATGTGCGGGAGGCAACCAATTGATGTGTCTCTAAAAATGATGTTTCTTTCTCTCTGTTTCTTCCTCTCCCTCCTACTCTCTAAAAGTCAATGGAAAAATATCCTCAGATAAGGACTAACAATAACAAAAAGTACAAGATGAGATTCTTTTTAAAAAGTATATTTTTATTGATTCAGAGAAAAAGGGAGAGGGAGAGAGAGAGATGGAAACATCAATGATGAGAGAGAATCATTGATCGGCTGTCTTCTACGTGCCCACAACCTGGGCCTGTGCCCTGACCGGGAATAGAATTGTGACCTCCTGGTTTAACCACTGAGTCAGCCCAGCAGGCAGCTTCTGCAGTTTTGATGTGAATGTCAGAATCTCTGCTTGGCTGCCTGTTACAGTAGGTGGACCAATCCTCCATTGGTGATGTTGAATGCTACACTCGGGGTCCTTTCTGCACACTTGACCTGCCCCAGCTATTAACGAAAATGCTATTTTACACACTTGTTCCATCGAAATATGGGGTATGTGGAATGCCGTACTTCCTGTTCCCTCTAATTTCTTCTGTGGAGTTAATAAGTGTGATCTCAGCTTGCATGATTGAGGATGGGAAATAGTATAAGAAGCAGCCACAGGAAACTCTCCCGCTTCCCAATCCACTTTGTGTCTCTCGGCAGCCCTTTTTAGAAGAATCATTAGAAAAGTTGCTGTAGGGTGGAGTAACGCTGGGATGTTTCTTGGGAAGACATTTGATTGATTGAACAGTGTGAGTCCTGTAAGAGATTGTGATTTCAATACTTGGCCAAATGTATATCCCACTGGCAAACAGCCAGGTTGGATGTTATGCTATCTTTTTTGCTGACTAACTTAGGCCTTGTTTACGATTCCATTGTATTTTCCCTTGCTCTGAATTTGATATTTTCTTTCCTGATTTTAAAATTAAGGCCAATATAGTTCAATCTAGTTTTAAGATTTGCCTGAAGACGTTTTTGGAACAAGGCTGGATATGAATATATATATATATATATATATATATATATATATATATATATATATCATGCTTACTTGGTGTATTTGAAAGCTTGAAGAGAGGCCATGCTCATATGAAGTAGGGAGAGAGAGAGAGAGAGAGAGAGAGAAAGAGAGAGAGAGAGAGAGAGAGAGAGAGAGAGAATACCAGATAATGCTCCTTTCTGTGCTCCCCTTATCTCCTTTATTGTGTGCTCAGGGGGGTGTTGGGGAAGAGAGTCCCTTGTACTCAGACTCAGGGCCCTTTTGCTAATGAGGGAGGGGCCCCTGGCGTACCAGGGCCTCTGTGCTTGGGGCCTGGGACCCAGGTGGGATTGAACTGGCAGAAGCCAGTGCTATAGTGGGCACTTCTGTAGGGGCCCATCTGGAAGAGATGGCATAGTAACCATTGGGTTTGGAGTTGGTATTTCCCAGGGAGCTACTTTGGCATCTAACCCAGGGAATCTCCAAACTCTGCTCCGCTTGGACTGCAGCGTGTGCCTGCCTGTGCTCTCCTGAGCTCCAGCCTCCGGCCTGCGCTGGCCTTTCTTTTCCTCCTCCTCCTTGGTGCTGACGGCTGTGGTGATCTAACCAGAACTGACCAAAAGCTAAACACCTGGACAGCTGTGCAGTAGCTGCCCCTAGAAGCATCTTCTCTGAACTTGGTTCGACTTGATATTGCTCCTTTTGCTGTTACTGGTAAACAACATAAAGCGTGATCATTTTCACTTTTTCTACACCTGCTGGTTCGCCTCCTGGCTCACTGGCCACGCCTCCGTTTCCTTGTCTGGTTCTTCATTTTCCTGATTTTTGGAGGACCCTAGGGCTCAGTCCTTGATTTTTTTTCCTGTAAATATTCCCTTGGTGATGTCATCCAATCTCATGGTGTTAGTTACTATTGATTCTGGTTATTCTCACATTTATTTCTCCAGCCCTGACTTCTTTCCCCAACTCCACTCTTCCATGTCCACCTTCCTGCTCCTATCTTCATCTGGATGTCTGACAGCGCCTCAAACTCAGCCTGGCCAGAACAGTGCCTGGTTTCCCCAGTCTCAGTCTTCCCACAGTCTTCCCTGTCTTGACGGATGATGGAATCCAAAAAATGGTATGCTCATCCTCACTCTTCTTTCTCTCACACTCCACCTTCAATCTTAGCAAATCCTGTTGGCTCTGCCTTAGAAATATATCCAGACTCTGCCTCCTTCCCCTGGTTTCCACTGCCACCATCCTCTCTCACCTGCACTGCTGCAGTAGCCTGGTAATTGGTTTCCCTGCTTCTGCCTTGTAAACAAAGGTCAGATGGTGGCACTTCTCAAACCCTCTGCTGGTCTCCCATTTCCATAAGAGGAACCGTTTTCACAGTGAACTCCCTGGCTTTCATGAGCTGCTCCCGCGTTTTCTCCCTTAACTTCCTCTCCTCACCCAGTCCTCTCCCTCCCCTTCCCCCTCTGGGGTTTGGCCTCCTAGCGCTTCCTCAAACACACCCAAAAGCTTCCCCTTAGGGCCTTTACCTGAAGCAATCTCATCTCCAGATTTACTCTTCCATCCGTCCTTACTGGCCTGTCCATTGTCTCAATACCTTAACATTCAGAGGTACAGTCTGCCTTCTGCTACTCCTGATCTCCCTCTTCCAGCCCTTCCTCCTCTATTGTCCCCTAACATAACAATATAGTGTGTCATTCACCTCCTGTGTGTGTTGTCCATCTACTGCAGCAGTGCCTGCGGGCTTCCCAGGGGCAGGGATCTTTATCTGGTTTATTGGCTGGTGGTCGCCAAATTCCTAGGACGGGCTCTGGAAAGATAGGCTGCACTGACGAGATATTGATGGTTGAGTAAAGGAAGGATTCAGGAGACCTTCAGAACCCCTCCTGTGAGGAAGTGTGTGCTTCAGTTTTAGGAAAACATTTGTTTCCTTGATGGACAGGGGCTTTTGTTATTTTCCCCAGTTATGAAAGTTGTTTAAGTCATATTTCCTTTTCTGCTTTGGCTGTTAGAATGCTAAAAACACGGTTTTATGCTCAGTTGTGATAGTGACTCTCTGCTTCAGTATGTAAACAGACAACCCTCCTCCCCTCCTTTCCCCCTTATCCAGTCTTCACTGGGTGAAAACCTGTTCTGTAGTTATTTTCATTTTTGACAACAACAGTCTTTTCTTGTTAGACCCTATAAATAACCTTTGTAAGTGGTTTATGAAAGATGTGTTTGTCTTAGCTTATAGCTGGTTTTCTTTTGAACTTCAGCAGGAGTCAGCACCATTGTTTCTGGTAGTATGCAACTTACTAGTTTGATCAGTGTTCTGAAACAGTAACTCTGGGTGTTCTGTTTCTCTGTGGGCTTCTATTTGATTGAATTACACTTAGACACATATTAATATACTTGTACATTGTTACTGTCAATCCCAAACTCTTGCTTCTTAAGCCCAAGGACCCTCATTTCTGACATAACACCCATTGAAAGAATTTCTTGCCACTGTTTAATAAAAGGAATTGTTGGCTAAACCCCAAAAGGATTAAATTAAT